CTCAAGAGAAACCCAAACCACCAGAAGGCCTTTGACAGCCAGTTCCATACTTTTGTGATTGGGGTTGTTTTCTTTTGGTTTGGTTTCTTTTAGCAATATCATTTTAGGGTTACACTTATGCCCTCAAGCCACATTTTGTAGGTACTAGTGTTACTACGTACTGTCATAAATTAATTCTCTGGGCTCTTAATAACAATTAGAGAAAGTTGCTAGGCAGAACTTATCTCCTACTCAAGTCTGGTTTCCCATACAGAAAGTGTTTTAAATCAGAAGTGATGATGTATCAAAATAATTTATTCAGAGCTTTTAAGGAAGACCCAAGTAGGCTCCTACAAATTTGCATGGTCTGTCAGCCCCTAGGAGTGAACATCTAGGTTTAGTTATGAGAGTAACACATCTAATATTCTTATAATTCTCAACGTTCATAGGTATTGTAATCACTCATAGAGGAGCTCAGAAAGCCCTGGGTGGCTCAAGATCTTTGGCTGACAGCCAAAATAGAGAGGAGAATTTGGAAGTTTTGGAACTGTTATACAACAGTTTGCAGAGCCTACAATTTTTGTTTTAATTCTGACCAACTGGGAAAAAATAGTAGATGGTTATGTTTTTCAGTGCTGCAGCTTACAAAATTGTTTGGGGAAGATGGACTGCTATTGGAGAGTATGCTCAGGTGGTTTTTTTTGAAAGGTGAAGGCAGTTCCTAAGCGGTATGACACCAATATAGCACAGTGAGTGTGTGTCTATACAGCACCCCGATTTTCCATTTGTCTTCCATTCTCTTAATGGCATCCTTCCTCTACCTCTCCTCACAACTCCGTATCAAAAGTTTATCACGGTGGTTAAGAGGAGGAAAAAAAAATATCATCCCTTCCCCACGTGGCTGTGCAATAAAGAGATTTGACAGAAGCAACATCATGGTTATTTATGACTTTGATGCAAGCCAGCAAATTTTTTAGAAGCTAAGAGCATTCCAGTTCAAGAGGCTGGATTCTCATTGTCAGGGCACAACATCTTTTATAAATCTAAAAGCATCGGACAAACAAAAGCATCAGAAAGAGTTGCATGAATTCTCCTGTCAAGCCAAGCAGCTAAAATCCTGAGGAAATCAAGCTAGTAGAGCAAACATCAAGAGCAGTGACAGACTCTATTCTGTATGCCTAACCCCTTGACTCTAGGCTTCTTTCAGCAATATTTTAAGTTCAAATAAATACCAACCCCAACAACCAATCCACACCTTTCAACAACTAATAACTGTTTTCTAGTTAGTTTTTAGTTTTCTGTAAAATCCTTTCTAAGTTTTGAGTGCTTGAAGTAACTGGACAACTATCTCTTCAACAGGGCAGTGGTGAACTAAAACCAAAGTCACAGACCTGTGCTGTATCCTTCTAGCACCCTGCCTTCCTTCCCAGTGGGACCTCTACTAAAATGTTATTTTTTTTAACTGACATAGCCCCTTTCACCCTTCCTGTAAGAGCTTGCTTCCCCTGAGCCTCAGATCACTGGCTTGAAAGCAAATCATTAGAGTATCTAAAGCTGTGGTAGCAAACTTCAATTGAGTCATCAACTCATATATCAAACAAAAAGGCTAATTACTGCCAAAATATAAACATACTTCTTTACAGCAGACTACAGTAGGTAATATTTTACCCAGTTCTCTAGTGTTCTTGCTGTACAGTGTCAATAAATGTGCCCTCTACCTGTGACATTCACCCTGAAAAATTTGATGGCAACAATTTCTGACTAGTCTTGTGCTTGTCTATAACTCGGCAGCATTATGGCACAGGAAACTCACAGCACAGTATTTTTCATGATTATGAGCAGTAGCTCAGCAATGGAATTCTCCTTTATGGGCCTGTTCCAGGAACTGTCAAAAAAAAAATCTTCCCGTTCAGGCAGGACAGTTTTGATCACCCCCTTAAGTGGTTTAAAGAGTCCAATTTCTTTGTCAAGGTTCTCAGGGAAAGAAGGCAATTTCTCAAGGAACACAGTATTAGTCCCCAACCTATTGATCACTGTTATGAGACAAGCCTTGAGAGTCTGATGGCTGAGCTCTATTAACTGCTCACAAGATTGATAGCAGGGGAAGCTGCAAAGGAAACGTTAGATTTCCAATCAGTTTGACAATCTTTTAAACTTCTTGCAATACCACAGTAGAACAGTCGCTGCCCAATACACAGATATTTCATCAGAAACTATTTGTCATTTATGATTCCATAAACAAGGAGAAAGGTAATTGCATCTGCACAAGGCAGGAAGCTGAAGCCCTTTCTCTTTTAATTCCCACTCAGTCTCAGCTCATGAATTTCTCTTCTGCTTAATCAGGAAATTAGAGCAGACTATGTAGTTACTACAGGCTGTGCAGCCATTCTACATCTATAATGTTTAAGTAACAGTGTTTATTTTTTAGGGTAATGCTATTACTTTAGAGCAATAGTATCCAGTCTTTTCATCTAGATGAGATTATTTCAAAAATTTCTTTGTATTAGGGCGTAAGAAAATGCAAACCAAATATACCAAGAAGGAGTTGTGCAGGGTCATGCCAAGCCTCTATTTTGTCAGTTTTCCTTGGCTCATTGACAGAATGAGACATTGACAGAAATTGGCAGTGCCTTAGCTCTTCCACTTAAAAAATTAGGTGGAGCTAAGGTTTTCTCACTGTTGGGAAAGCAGTCAGCCTGCTGTTCTGCAAATAAGTGACAGGGAAAAGCATTTCTCTGTGAAGCAGGTTTTTGCCTACACAGAGAAGTGGCAGGAATTTTGATGCACTTTTCAGCCCAACCAGTTCTGGCTATGCAGCACATGGTCAGGCAGGTGGTCACTGACTGCACCCAACAGCTCCTTTTTTTCTGTCCCAGTACTCCACACTACAGCCAGACTGCTTGTGCCCACATAGCCACACTCTGGTCTTCACAGTGCTTTAACTGCAGCTTTGCTGACATCTCTTTCCAAGTAATTAATTTTGCAGTTCATTTAATGAGTCCCTCAGCATTTCTGTTGCTGTAATGTAATTCCCATCTGTAACTGCACAGCTTGCAGGTAGAGATAGCCTTCAAGTGCAAGATGCTATGGATCTCTTAAAATGTGCTATTCATAAACAGATCTAAGAACTATTTTGACATCTATTATTTATAAGAAAACCCAGAATCAAACGTTAGAGACAGTGAGACAGGCATCATGTCCTCAGTACTGCTTACCCTTCAGTGCAGATTGTGCAACCCCAGAAGCACAAGACATTCAAATCCCAGTAACCAAATTAATCCACTGAAATATTTTGACATATCAGAAGCTGTTAAAATCTGACCAATGTTAATTAAGAATCTAGGAAAGTCCACTAGGGTCTAAAGTCTCTTAAAAAAGGGAAAAACAGCTAACACTCAGTACTGAATTGTGGAAGCAACACAATGGTCATATTATTTCCTGCCCTCCCCAAAATTATCTGGTTTCTCCACGTATGAATAGAAAATTCAAAAATGTTTTATTTTTTTGCGATACTTCGATGCACATATCATAGTTTTTAAATCTGACATGCTACTTCAGAAGACCTAAGAAATAACAGCCCAATTTATATTGGAATAACTGCATATGCTTTTGTATTATAATTGGTCCTGGGTTACATTTTAGATGTAAATTAAAAGCTGTTTTACTGTGATCACACAGGGCCCAGATTTCAGGATTCTGTGACATTTTAGTCTCTCCATGCATGAATATTTTTTAAACACTTGCCCAACACCATTGTAGCATTATGAGAGCAGTTACCTGCTTCTCCAATGGCAGAGACATGAAAACAATGTCATACAGTTACTTTTGCCCCATTTATGTGTTCTTTTGTACTTGGTCTCCACATTTTTTTCTGTTTGCAATGTGTATCCCACCCTCTTCCATTTCAGTCTTTTATATTTCTCCTTCAAAATACCCTTCTAATATATTTACACCCAATTTCACTTTTTCACTTATCAAATGTCTCCACCCCCTCAGCCCTGTGGCAGCACCTTTGACTCTGCCCATCACTGATCTCATATACTAAGACTTAGAAGCAATTCACTTTTGTAAATTACAAGATACAACTGCAAAAATTCTCACTGCATCAAGGTTATGAGGCATCTTAGAAAACACTATCTGGGTCGAGTGCTTCAATTTATGTAATCTGCTTAATTTTCTTTACATATTCATAAGAGAGTGCACCAGACATCGCTGGAGGGATAAAGTCAGATTTGAAGGAAAATCAAACATTTCAGTAGCACGTTACCATTTTATCACATTCTAACAGTATTAAGCATGTCCCAGAAATGGTATGAGATTCTTTTAATTTTGGACACTGTACTTGTTATCCAAACATTTCACTAGAATGTTACCATTTTATCACATTATAACAGTATTAAGCATGTCCCAGAAGTGGTGTAAGAGATTCTTTTAATTTTAATTTTGGACACTGTACTTGTTATACAGATAACATGTCTGAAGTTAATCACAAGCTCATACAGTCTTAATTATTCATCCATACGTTCTGTTCTAAAAGAACCTTCCTATATTCTTCAGCATATTTGATGGCCAAAGCAGAGTTCTGCAGCACTAAAATCCCTTGCAATGATTCACATGAGCAAAACCTTTTAATCTCAACTCTGTAAAGCCCTTTTGTTGTCCACTCCAACAATCTTCAGGTGTGTGCATAGAAAAAAGGGTAAATATAGAATCATAGAATATAAAGCAAATCCTTCTATAAAACCTAAAATATTTTTTCTTTCTTTAATAAAAAACTGTAGCATTGACTATTAAATTACCTTCTTCCTTACAACAAGTATGGCAAAATCAGCTGGACATATTCTCCTTTAGCCTCCCTTCCAAAGAGTTTTCCTGAACTGAAAAATAAAAGACGTTCCCAGGAGAAAACAACAAAGACCCTAAAAATGCGAAGGGAGCAGTTTAAATCAGAAGTAACAGCCAGGTGGTGATGATCAGTGTGGCCTATCCCAATGCCACATGCCATTTCATTCACTGGATGCTTAACGAGAAAACTGTCGATTGTCAGATTTCCTGCTAATGTGTTTGAAGATTTTTGCTTTGTGGACACTCTTTGCCTTCTGGTAACCAAATCCTCCACCTCCACCTCTTTTCTGTAGTCTTCTGCCATGGTTGCTGTTCACATCTAAAATTTTATTGGTTAAAGAACTTATAGAGGAATGATTTGAAATGTCGCATTTTGGGTTTTGTAAGGGTTATTAATGTGAGAAAAATACCAGCATTATACAAAAAGTGAGTTGCCTTCAAAGAAGACCACAACTTTGGGTCTGTGGCTCTAAATATTCCTCCAGTTGTCCAATTAAGTTGGCCAAAGTACTATTGCTTCATAGAATCATAAAGGTTGGAAGAAAGCTCTAAGATCAAGTTCAACCATTAACCTGTCACTCCACTGTGTAACCCCTAAACCCCAAACCACATCTTCCAGGCCCAGGTGCCTCTTAAACACTTCCAGGGATGGCTAGTCCCCCACCTCCCTGGGCAACCTACTCCAGTGCCTGACCATCCTAACATCTAATGTGAATCTCTCCTGTCTCAGCTTATGGCCATCCCCTCTAGTCGTCTCATTTTAGGCATGGCAGAAGAGACAAATTCCATCCACTAGCAGGTTTGACAGCAATCTAGATAGAGTCTTCTCTTTCATACTCTTGCCCCTTTTTGTCAGTATTCCATGACTATGAAACTTAAGCATGTATATTTCCATGAGGATAATTTTGCATGGAGAACAGCACTTTGGAATCGTAAGAATTTAAGGGTTGGAATGGACCTTACAGCTCATCTAGTCCCAACCCCCTGCCCTGGGCAGGGACACCTCCTCACTAGATCAGGTTACTCAAGGCTCATCCAGCCTGGCCTTGAACACCACTAGGGTTGGGGCAGCCGCTACGTCCCTGGGCAACCTGTGCCAGTGTCTCACTACCCTTACAGTAAAAAACTTTTTTCTCACATCCAACCTAGACTTTCCCTCCTTCAGTTTGAACCCATTACCCCTTGTCCTATCACTGCAGTTCCTAACAAAGTGTCCCTCTCCAGCTCCTTATAGCCCCTTCAGATACTGAAAAATTGCTCAGAGGTCTCCACTCAGTCTTCTCTTCTCCAGGCTGAACAGCCCAAACTTCCTCAGCCTGTCCTCATAGAAGAAATATATGCATTCCAGTATTTGCTACCCCACAGCAACTGAAGCACAGAGAGATGTCTATAGGCAATTTTTGCAGTTATAAGACCTGCAATGTAATGTTTTCTTTGATAAACTATTGTTGGAACATGATGCATTTATATGATTAATAGCAAAAAAAAACCCCAACAACTCTAAACTGCCAGAATTTGATGTAACATAGGAATTCAGCAAGTTGCAATGAGCATTTATAATGCAGAAATTCAGCTTTGAAATGCAGCAGTAAAAGGATACTGAGGTCAACAAATGGAGGGACTTTAAAACCAAATGAAAGGCTGACTTTGGGAAGATCCAAGTTATTGACATCATAGATCTGCTTCAGAGAATGGGAGTCATAAGCTCTAATGTAAGCCTTGTATGCCTCCTGGGCTGACTTGTGAAGGAAGTAGTTCTTCTCAATCAGTTTTTCCAGCTGGTGAGGGAAAAAAACCCCACAAGAGACATAAACAATTATAGCTGTAAGAAGTCTATAAATTCTATTCAAGCAGATTATTTACTGTGTGAGTGGCAATAACATTCACTGTTCACTTCAGCAAAACTGCCCTGTGACAGTAGAGTGCACATACAGATATCAGAGTGCTATTATAAACAAAATACAGGGATAAAAAAAGCCTGAGTTACAGTACAAAAACCTAGAGAAATATTAAATTGGGTTTTCTCAAACAAGTTAATGAAGGAGACTACAACTGTAACCACACCATGAAACTAAGTGAATTGAGAATTAGTGGGCCATGACACTGTGCTTTTAAGTCTACACAGTTTATGCAATTCTACAGTCTTATCTATTATGGTGCAAGTGCATTGTAAAATAAGCAGTATTAATGCTAAGACAAAAATGCAGATGCACTAATGTAGACTGAGACATTTTATTTCTTATGGGCCAAGTTCCCAATACTCTTTTGAGCTGAGTGTCTCATTTGATGTTTAACATATATTAATTCAGCATACTAGAAATAAGTTATATTAGACATCATTACTTCCTGACTTTTCTTAATTAGGAACCTCTCTCTGTAAGGATTGTCTTCAGTGTCTCTTGTACTTGCTATTTCAAATTTAAATTACTGCAAAGAAATTTTGCAGAGCTTTTATCAAAATAATGATTCACAGAAGTAACCAACAACAGAATTGCACATCCACAGAACTATATATGCTGTTCCACTCCATTTTGTGCTCCATGGCTATTTTTGAAGCACAGGAGCACAAAAAAGGTTTAGCTGATGCTGGGCTAGTTAAAAATACATATGAACTATATACTAACATTTCTAAGTGTTGGTTCTGGACCTCCTTCTGCACAATGAAGTCTGAGTAAATCATCTTACAAGATGAATGTGACTCAGAATTAATCTAAGTATACATAACTACTCAATAAAAGCTACCAAAGTCCTATTTGCTCTGCCAGACAAGAACATTTTGTCCAAAGCTGAAAGCAGGTTTACATCACTGTCATTTTACAATGTAATGTGAAAAAAACAATTCTTACAAGCAAATTTGTATTGTATAATGATGACAATTTAGCACTAGATATTAGCATCCTTAATTTCTAAACCTTTTCTTGCTTTGCTATCATCAAGGGACAGTATGGCAGGAGGATTTACTGCACAGTGCTCACCTACAGGAACTCTTCTAAAGTACAGGCATTTTTGAACTGCAGTCATTATACACTATAACATTCTCCATGTAAATTATAATAAAGGTATTCAAAGCAGTTGTAGCATGAAGTAATTTCATACCTGTGACTGGATGTCTGAAATTTTTGACCAAGAAAATTCAAATTCGCTTAGTGGCACCTTAAAAAAACCAAAAAACAAAAACCTCAGAATTATTTACACTGTGCAAATTTAAGACCTAAGATAAATAGAAAAAGAGCTGCTAGATAACAGAAAAAAAATTTTTTTAATACCACAGCTGTATCTGTAAACTGCCTTTACATCAATATGACAGTATTATCACTTCCTTTAAGCTGAGGTAATAAAGACACTCAGCAGGACACATTTTGTTATCACTTTTGCTTTAGAAGTTATACCACTTTAGTTACAAGTGATAAAACAAGACCATAAGGAGAGCAACCAAGCAACTCTGTGCAGTCCTACCATATTAAAACGGTTACATTTAGAAGAAGGCCACGCTTCTTCTGGAATTTAACAAAATGAAACTGATCTTGGAAAAGAAAAATAACAGGTTTTGCCTTTAAAAACCTGTTGCAAAGTAAAAATATATAAAATTTAGACCTAAGTTTACCCTGGCTTGTTTGAGGTACCGCAGAAAGCCAAGTTCTTCTGGTCGTAAAATGAGCAGAGCATGTCCCCTGCCATTTATGCCTCTGGCAGTTCTACCAACACGATGAATATATTCCTTTTGGAAAGAGTAAGAAACAGCAAGTTCAATCAGTCTTTAAAACCATGCAATAATCACACTGCTTCACGAAAAAAACCCACAAATATAATATGGATATAATGTAATACATCATCTGGCATTTTTAAAGACTTTCTTAGCACTCCCAGATGGATGAGGGAAACCAGGGGCTGAAGATACAAAGCACAACTAGGCAGAGACAGAAACCCTGACTAAAGTATTTTACCTTTTACTGAAGAAAAACAATCTTAGTCTGCTGTAACTGAAAATTAAATTTGGCTTTTGCTGTATTTGTCGAAACTTACGAGTTTTTTAAATTTTTCTTGTTTACAGTAAACATTTCTTCAAATAAGAATACTGATCTTTAAACAAACATCTAATTGCAACTGGAAAAGCTGTTAAACTCAGGGATGCATACACAGACTCACTCCTCTCAAGAAGTGTTTTGTTGTTTAGCTGATTAGGTTTGAAATTAATTTACAGCACAAAGAATGTTTTAAAAAGCAATTCATAAAAAGGCAACAAAGGTCTCAGTTAGGAGTAGCATTTCCTCAGAGCTGGTGAAGGGAAAGAAATAATTGGCTAGATATGACCATGGCTGAACCCTGACTGATGTCAAGAGCAGTTTCAGCTTTTCTTTCCAACTACATTTGTAGCTAGGATTTGATTTCTTTCTGTGACATTTCTCTATTTCTTTAACTTACTTTTGGATCATCTGGAGGGTCATACTGGACAATCCAGTCAACTTCAGGAATATCCAATCCTCTGGCAGCTACATCAGTGCAGAGAAGTATTCCAGATTCTGCATTACAGAACTGGAAAAATGTTGTCGTACGTTTGGTTTGTTTCTGCTTGCCCTTAAAGGAAAAAAAATACATTGAGAATGAAATATCAACAAACAAAAAAAATTAATTTGCCAGCTGGTAAACTTAACTCTAGTTTCTCATTTCACTTATATCACTGCCAAGAATATAAAATAATTTGGGGCATATTTCCAAATCATGGTCTTGTACAAGCAGGACCATTTTGCAGTCAGCAATAAACAGCACGGGGCTACATGAAGTAGCATCTCTCAGAGGTTACAATGGATCTCCAAAAGCATTAAAAATTGCATAAGCATTCAGTTCAGAAAGGCTGCACAAATGCCTCAAGTTCAAAAACAAGACATTTGCAAGTCTAGCAATATGTTAGATAGATTCCAGGTTAAAAAGCAACCAGCAAACCAAGACCCATACTTGCAACAGCTGTATCAAAGAATAGCAAAAAAATCCCTCAAAGAACAGAATTAAAAAGGATATTTGTGGTCAGTTATAACTGTTTCATAAACTTTCAGTTCATTCCTAAACTGTGCATTTTGTGGTTTTGTCAAAAAATTTACAATGCTCGTTCAAATGGTAAGAACTGGCACTAGGTTTGCTCCACAAATTGAGTATTAGTACTTGTGCAAGGCAACTTTTTACACAGAGAGTATAAATTAGTATTAGTGTTGAGCCCTGGTTCAAAATATAGCAAGGTTAATCACTGAAGTATTGTTATTACAGTCTTTATTTTATCTCCTTCCTCTACAGACTAATCAAGACCATAGCAGTTGTGTGAGCAAGGTGTCTGTTTTTCAGAAACTGGACTGAAACAAACAAACAAGGCAAATATAAGGTCAGTAACAACTTATCAATAAATAAAATACTTACATGAATGGCCAAAACAGGCAGATCAATATAGTTGAGTAATTCATAGTGGTACTTCACTGACATACACGAAGAAAAAAATACCATTAGTTTCTTCTTCCGGTTCTTCTTGAGGAATGTGAAGAGCAAAAGGAATCTTTTTTCAGATGGACACACTACATACCCCTGGAAAATTTTTAAACATTGTTAAATGAAGCAGCAAGGAGCAAATTTCTGTTTCAGCAATGTAATTAAATCAGGGGAGCGTTATGTTGTCAAATATGCCAAAGAGTTAAGCAAAAATATATCTCAAGCATATCCAGCTCTAGTCACTAAAATGCAGTTAGAAAGATGTGTATGTAATAGGAATAGACAAGTGTAAGTACCTATATTATTATTTCATAAGGTTTTGTATCATCTTTAAGACAGTGTTTGTACAACCCCCTTAAAAACACACAGGGCTCGGTGTGTTCACAGATCATATCCCTTCTACTAACAGTTGTGTTTTACCTGTTCAAGACCATCTACTGTTGCTGTCTCCTTGTTATCATCAACCCCAACATAGAGTGGCTCTTTCTTCAGAGAGATCTTTGCCAGATCTTCAACCTTTCTGGTTTGTGTAGCAGAGAAAAGCATCGTCTGTCTGCGCTCTGGAAAAAACATTTACTTTCAAAGACATCCTCACTTTTTAAAAGAAGAATTCAAATAGCAAGTCCATAAAACCTTTAGCTGCAAGCTTCTCTCAGCAAATCTTCTGTTTTTCAATTAAATTCTAATTCAAACATACAGCTACTGACACACAGACAGGTGTAGTTGTATTATGGATGGCACAGGATGTTTACTCAGGCTGCCACCACCTCCACAATCCTAACAGCTATAAAACCACAATATTCTGAGAAAATGTCAGTATCATTTGCAATCCAATTTAGACACAAAACAATTATTTAAATAGAGACCAGCCTTGTAATTCTAACTATAAATTGATTTAATTCCCACGAATATGTAAATGTTTTCTTAAAAAAAAAAAGTCATCCTAGAGATTGTGCAAGAAATAAACTTGTGAAAACTAAGGTGCAGTTCCATACACATCTGAGCATGCCATTTAGTCACATGGCTCATCTGCACTGAGCCTCAGTGACCTCAGTGGTCTCACAGCAGGTGTAGGAAATCTCCTGCCTATCATCTCTCATCTCAAATACACATTCTGACCCAGTAGCACATGGAAAATGCGCTTAGTTTCTTCCAAACAGAACAGTAGCAATTGTTCTTGGTGATCAATCAGTGCCACCTTTTTGATTTTTTTAAATTTATTTTTCTATTTTGAAATATAATTTCCTTCCTAACAGGACAAAACCAAATGAAACTCATGCAAAGTATAAATTTCTTCTACCAATTTTCACTTCACAAAGGACATCTATTTTTCCCACTCCTCCTTCCCTCTCTGTGTTTAGCACTGTCCGTTAACATTCTTCACAGGATGCTACTCATTGGATTTATATTTTAAACTTTATTTTATATTATAACTACATTTTAAACATGCAGATCTGAATTTTAATATTTAAGATGTGGAACCTCAAAATATTCATTACTGATTTTTGTATGTACTATTTCCATGGGAGGTTTTTCTGAATTTTTTATGTTTAAAGG